CCAAGGGCATGTGAGTCTTACCCGCCCGTTCACTGAGTCCATAGTTACTGAGCGCCTACCGTGTGCCCGCTGTGCTGTAGGTGCTGGGGAGACAGCCACGCGGGAAACCTGAGCAGGGGAAAGAATGTCCTAGACAGAGGGCCTGCACGTGCAAAGGCCCTGAGGTGCACATGGGCTCATCGTGGTCAGGGAACAAGAAGGTTGGTACGGCTGGAGTGGAGTGACTGAGGAGGGGAGAGCGGGGGAGACGAGGGTAGAAGGTGGGTAGGGCCGCGTAAACTTGGATGTGACTCCACTGCATTGGGAGGCCATGGGAACATTTTACACAGCAGAGGGGCGTCATCCAGTTTACACCATTGAAAGCTCATCTGTTTGCTCTTTGGAGAGCGAGTCAACCATGAGGGGCAAGAGTGGAAGCAGGGAGACAGGTGGTGCCTGCACCTGTCCAGGCGAGAGATGCTGGCTCAGACTGGAGTGAGAGTGACTGCTGGCCCTCGAGCTGCAGGAGACCCCTTTAAGGCCGCTGCTGAGGCTTGCTGTCTGTGCAGCTCGGGGCCTGGCAGAGGAGGCGGGCTTGGTTGCAAACAACTTGCCTTCAAGAGGCTTCCACGTGGTTAACAAAGCAGACACGGAAATAGTTCCTCTTTGGTTGGTTGGCTTGCCCCAGAGTCTGGGAAGCACTGGCTAACTGACGTCGCCTAGTAGCTGCCCTTTCTGAAACGTGTTTTCCCCTGGTAAACGATGCAGGTGCGTGCACACATGCTTGCACACACACACGTGTGGACACAGGCACACACGCGCACACACATGCACACACCCACAACATGCACACACACGACACTCACTACACTCTGCCCAGGCCCTGGGTCTGCACCCGGGGCCTCTGACCTCTGCCAGGGCCTCAGCAGCCAGCTCTCAGCACCCAGCAGCTCCCTAGACAGCAGCCCACGGCTGCCACGTGGGGGCTGAAGCAGCAGAGGTGATGGAGAGCAATCACCACAGTTAGCCACCAGTCGCCACGGTTAGTGGTTCCAGGGAGCTCCCAGCTTACCCTGGGAAGAGGTCAAGTCCCTCTCCTCCCTCCGGGCCGGGCACATGTGGGTCCCGTGTGACTTCCCCAGGGCTGGCCTGGCCAGATGCGTTGCCCAGCCCATGTACTCCCTCCACATGGTTATCAAAAACGACAGAGGCCCCTTCCTTACCCCACCTCCTGAGCCCAGAGAGCAGAGCCTGAGGCCTCCCCATGAGGCCTCACCCTTCTGAGACCTCCCCATGAGGCCTCACCCTTCTGAGACCTCCCCATGAGGCCTCACCCTTCTGAGACCTCCCCATGAGGCCTCACCCTTCTGAGACCCTTGTATGAGGCTCTGCCCCTCTGAGACCCTCCCCTATGAGGCACCGCCGCTCTAAGACCCCCCTCCCAGGCTCCTGACTATCCAAGGCCCTGCCCCTCTGAGACACACCCCCTGTGAGGCCTCGCCCCTCTGAGACCCCCCTCCACGAAACCCCACCCCCCTAAAATCCCCCCTGCAAAGCTCCACCCCTCTGAGACCCCCCCACGAGGCCACGCTCCCCTAAGACCCCCTCCCAGGCTCCAGACTGTCCAAGGTCATGCACTTCCAAGGCCCTGTGCCTCCATTGCTCACCCCTATGAGACACCCCCCCGAGTCCCCTCCCCTCTGAGACCCCCTCCGAGGCCCTACCCTTATGAGACTCCCCTGAGCCTCCTCCCCTCTAAGACCACACCCTGCTGAGACCCCGCCTCTGAGCCCCCTTGGACCCCTCCCCCTCCGAGACCCTGTCTGATCCCTCCTTGCGTTTTGGGCACGTGGCCCGGCTCCCAGGTGGGCTCAATGAACGGTGGCTGCACTTGGACACGTGCAAGATGCAGGAGCCGGGGGAAGGGGGAGGGGGAAACAATTACTGGGCCCGTTTGATCCAGGTGCCAATACCCAGGCAGACGTGTGCAGCCTGGCTGGGCCCGTGCACGCAGGCCGCCATGATGGGACAGGGTCGGGGGGACCCTCTCCCCAGGACAGACGTACGGTGGTCAAGGAGCCAGGTGCGAATCCTGACCCTGCACTGAGGGTGTGACTTCAGGCAGGTGGCTTCGTCATGCCAGCCCGTGATCACCCCTAAAATGGGACCTGTCATCCCACCTCCTCCCACAGTTGCTGAGACACTCAGACGGGCAAGTAGGGGGTTCCTGACAGGCATAGGTCACAACACATGTCAGCGAGGACCCAGTCTGTCCTGGGGCAAGAGACAGATGCCGAGCAAAGGTGGGTTATTAACTCCTTGGGGATGGGGGGCACGCAGTGCGGCGCACAGGCGGGGGCCGTCCCCGGGACCCCAGGGAGCCTGGAGGAGTGTGTGCACCCCACGTTGGGTGGTTCTGAGGGGCCACGCCCGGGACCCCAGGGAGCCTGGGGGAGTGTGTACCCCACATTGGATGGTTCTGAGGGGCTATGCCTGGAGACCCCAGGGAACATGGGGGAGTGTGTTCACCCCGCATTGGGTGGTTCTGAGGGGCCATGCCTGGGAACCTGAAGGAGCCTGGGGGAATGTGTACCCCATGTTGGGTGGTTCTGAGGGGCTATGCCTGGAGACCCCAGGGAGCCCAGGAGAATGTGTGCACCCCACATTGGGTGGTTCTGAGGGGCCACACCCAGGGAGTTCAGGGAGCCTGGTAGAGTGTGCACCCCACATTGGGTGGTTCTGAGGAGCCATGCGGCACGCCTGGGACCCCAGGGAGCCCAGAAGAGTGTGTGCACCCCACGTTGGGTGGTTCTGAGGGGCCACACCCAGGGACTTGTGGGAACCTGGGAGAGTGTGTGCGCCCCACATTGGATGGTTCTGTGGGGCCACGCCCGAGGACCTGAAGGAGCCTGGAAGAGCATGTGCACCCCACATTGGGTGGTTGTGGTGGTTAATGAATGAATGCATGTATGGCACCTAGAACAGGACCTGGTACACAGTGAGCCCTCAGTGACAGCGATGATGATGGTGATGTTGTGGCTGTTCCGGGAATTGTTGGAGGCTCAGGTATTTGGGGGGAGTGCTGCTAACCGAAAGCTCAGCAGTTCGTATCCACCAGCCACTCCTTGGAAACCCTATGGGGCAGTTCTACTCTATCGTATAGGGTCGCTATGAGTCAGAATCGACTCAATGGCAAACCCAATGGGGAAGGGATGGAGAAGGAGCTAGGAGCAAGTCACAGAGGACCTCTCCGCCCTGCATGTCAGCTAAGGCAATGCTAGCTGCTGTAACAAATATGTCCAAATAGTGCAGTATAAGGCAGTTGACCACCCCCTGTCTGTCATACTGTGCTGGCTTGCATGTTGCTGTGATGCTGGAAGCTCTGCCACCGGTGTTTCAAATACCAGCAAGGTCACCCATGGTGGACAGGTTTCAGCAGAGCTTCCAGACTAAGACAGACTAGGAAGAAAGGCCTGTTGATCTCCTTCCAAAAATTAGCCAATGAGAAACTTATAGAACACAACAGAATACTGTCCAATAGAGAGCTGGAAGATGAGCCCCCGAGGCTGGAAGACACTCGGAACACACAGTGGCCACAGCAATGGACTCAAGCAGACCAACGATCGTGAAGATGTCATAGCACCAGACAACACTTCATTCTGTTTTACATGGGTCGGAGCCGACTCGGCTTCAACTAACAACAACGATGCAATAGAAGTTTGTTTCTGGTTGTTGTAACAGGCCAACGCACAGAAACCAGGGCTTCTTCCAGCTTGTGACTCCACCGTCCTCTAAGGTCTCATAGTCCTGGGCTTTGAGCTGGCAGAATCAGGAAGAAGGGATGGAAAACACTCTTACTTCCTAGACCCCCAGGGTTGGAAGGAATCCCCATTGCTTGAGCTCACATCCCATTGGTGAGAATCAGTCACATGGCCACTGCTGGTGCAAGGGGTGCTGGGAAGTGTAGTCCTGGGCTGGACCTCTGCTCCCCATGGACGCCTCCCCACTGCACTGAAGAGGGAGCATGTCCATTGCTGACCAGCTGGCTGCCTCTGCAGCAGACGTCCTGGGCATGAAAGGAGCCCAGAGATGCTGGCCTTTCTCAGTACCCTACGTGTGGTCACTTTTGAGTTGCAAATGTGCGTTCTGGGGTTTGAGTAAAAACGTGTTCATCTCGGAATACAGAGTCAAGGAGACAGACAACAGAGAGGGTTGCAAGAGTTTAAATTAGATTCCAGGCCAGTTTCCGGAAAGTAATCACGTAATTTCTCCTTTTTTTTTTTTTTTTTTTTTTTGCAGGATTGAGGAAGGAGGTTGTGCAGAAAATTGTATTTGGGGATAAATGAAACAATAAACCAGGAGCCACTCTTTTTCTCGTGCTTGCGTTTGGGTTTTTTATTCCCCCCTCAGTCCTGAGCTACCTATTCAATCTAATTACATTGTTCATATCATAGCCCATGAAATTTATGTCTATATCTGCTGACTAAGGCAAGCTAGGAGGAGACTTAATTAGGAACACTAATCATGTTTGGTTTTTTTTTTCTTTTTTTTTTTTTAGGGGAAAGCAGCTATAATCAGGAAAATAACAATGAATGTTACTTTTTTTCCCCAAAGGCCATCTCTGCAGGTTCTCGGGTTTTAGAGAAGGCTTGACTGCGTCGCTCCAAAATGCTGTTCTAACTGGTGCCACATGCCACGTGGACTGGTGCTGTCTCAGGCTACACTTAAGTGGTCTTCTTTGCAGAGTGCCACTTCCTGCATCCCCCGTGCGCCGAGGACGGGGGCTCTGCTTCTGCTTTGCTCACGGGTCCTAACTCCCCAGTAGTCAGCCTCGGCCTTCATGTGCATCCCCCAGATTCTGCAAAGCCAAGCCCCAGGGCAGGCCCTCCTCTTCCTCCCAGATCTTCTCCCAGGAGGGCGGCCTTGTGCTTTGTGAGTTAGATAATTTAGAGGCCTGGCCAGCCTCGTGTGGTTCGGGGCGCGACCTTTCTAAACCGTCTTCATCTTCCTTCTCTGTACAGAGACCCGCGCAGACCGCAGCAAGAAACTCTTCAGGCACTACACGGTCGGCTCGTACGACAGCTTCGATGCTGCCAGGTAAGAAGCATTTCTTCCTCTGCCAGGCCCCACCTGGGCTAAGATGCTCGTACCTTCCATGATCCATGGAAGCACTGGACTGTTTTGCATGGAGCGTTGAGACACCCTGAGCGTGCGCTAGGGGGATGGAGGCCGTCTTCCCGCAACCCTACCCCATATGGCCTTCGGTGTGGCGTCGGTCAGGAGCACACCTGTACGGGTGGCCCCAGCAGAAGCCTGTCCTTCCTAGAGGAGCAAGGCGTGGCCTTGACTGGGGGGAAGCAGTAAGAATGTGAAAGGTGGCAACATTTGGCCATGGGAGCCAGAGGGAGGCAGTGTCAAGGAAGCTCGTCCCCGCCCCGAGGGAATGTTTGGATGCTGGAGCATGTTCCATACTCATTCCCACGCTTCTGCTTTGTCGGAGATTTTGTAAAGGAGAGCCTGTTCCCCGTGATGGGCAGTGACAGGCAGTGACACCAGCAGGCGGGATCTTCCCAGCCCAGCAGCTTTGCTTCCGGCTCCCGCTCAAATGGGGAAATGTTGGGTTCGTGCCTGTGCCTTTGATAATGGGCAGAGGGCGAGGGTTTGGATTTTCCCAGGAACCCTCGCTCGTACAGCAGACACTACAGGACATCAGCAGGGTCCAGGCACCTTTTCCTTCCGGCACAGGGGAGGCCGAGGCTGTGGGAAGATGGGGGGAGGGGTCCTGCTGGGAGAGAGGGCCAGCCAGGCCAGGGGACTGGGCCTTATTTCCTACCGATGGCTTCAGGAGCAGCAGGAAATGGGAAGCAGTCTCCCCTGGCCACAGTCCCGTGTCCCCAAGCATGAGGTTTCTCCATCTCTTTGTTTTTGTCCCAGCCCTGAGCCTCCCAGCACCAGCACCAACGCCACACTGGGGTTGGACGGTGCTGAGAAAGGCCATCTGTGTGGAAGGTGGGCCGCCACCCAAGCCGAGGGGACAGTGGGCTCCACAGGAGTCAGCATGACAGAAAAGGGCAGGAGATGGCAGCTGGGGGCCCTGCTCCCAGCTCTGCACGGCGCCACGCTTGGGGCCCTCTGAGAACGCCCCCAACCAGATCTCCCCCAGAGAAGGCCCAGGCTGGGGAAGGGCCTGGAAACCCTGCTCCGGGTCCCGTCTCCCGGGCCCAGCGGACTGTGATATACATCTCAGACCTGTTGTCTTAGCTCTCAGCTGCTTGCAGGGGCCCCGAGCCTGGCGTATGTATTTGTGTGTTGTTTTCATTGAGACAAAATTCACATAACGTAAAATTTACTGTTTTAAAAGTGAATGGCTCAGTGACCTTTAGTACATTCACCACCCCCCTCTAGCTCCAGAACATCTCATTCCCCAAAAGGTGCCCATTAGCAGCCACTCCCCACGTCACCCTCCGCCCAGCCCCTGGCAACCAGGAACCTGCTTTCTGCCTCTATGGCTTTCCGTGTGGTGGACTTTTCAGATAAATGGTACTTCGCCACGTGACCCTTGTGTCTGGCCTGTTTCATTCAGCATGACGCGTTCGAGGTTCATCCGTGTGGTGTGTGTATCCGAACGCCGTTCTCTCTATGGCTGGATAATGCTCCACTGTCCGGGTGGACCACGCTGTGCGTGTCCATTCCTCTCTTGGTGGACATTTGGCTGGTATCCACCTTCTGGCTGCAGTGGACATTGGTGTCCAAGTTTCTGTTTGAGTCCCTGCTTTCAAGTCTTTGGGGAATACGCCTCGGCGTGGAATTGCCCGTCGCCTCTGGTGTTAGCTGTTCCGTCCGCCGTCTCGTAAACGAGGTGAGTTATAACGGGAGAACCATGCCCAGCAGATGATTTCGGCCACCTCCGTGGGGTCTTTGCAGACCGTCCAAGTCATGCCCTTTGCTGACCTTGAAGCCAGGGTGTGATCCATCGCCTGGCCACGAGTGCGGCTCAGAAAGGGGGCTCAGAGCCTGACCTGTGTCTTTCTTTATCTTTATTTGTCCTGCCGTGTCTTGAATTGGGTCTGCTGAATCGTTCTACAGCAGCGGGCTGCTGCTTGTCAAAGTATACCCTGGACCCGTGTCCCCATTCAGCGTGCCTGGTACACTCACAGGGCAGGGTGGGTACGTGCTGGTGGTCCATGGAGCCACGACCTTCCTCTCGTCCAGGGCTATCCCATGTGGGCGTAGGTGGTGAGTGAAAATGGCTCCCCGGAAGCCAGAAGGGTCTTTTAGAGCCACCGCCCCACAAGGCCCATTACCCCTCGGGCAAGGAGCAGCAGACAGGCTTCCCTTGGCATGTACGGGAGGGTGTGTGCATGCATGCTAAGCATCTGAAATGGCTAGCTTTCACCAGGGAGCGGTCGAAGGGAGCGACTTGGTCGAGCTTGGGAAAGAAGACCACGGGGCCACAGGTGGTACAAACAGTTAAGCACTCTACCACTAACCGAAAGGTTGGCCGTTGAGTCCAGCCAGAGACGCCTTGGAAGAAAGGCCTGGTGATTTGATTCCGAAAGGTCACAGCTTTGAAAACCTTATGGAGCCATTCTGCTCTGCAACCCACAGGGTCGCCAAGAGTCAGAATCGGCTCCACGGCAGCTGGTTTGGATTTTTTTTTTTTTGGTGGGTCCACATAGCAAAGGCACATTGCGGGGCTCTTGGTGGGTGGGACCACACCAGGGATGCACTGTGGCTCAGCCCATAGAAGACACTGGGAACTGTCACAGCTGCTCAACAACAAAAGTTGCCTCAGGGGTGATGAGCTCTCCACCACTGGTGGAAATCAAGCAGAGCTGGGTCTTCTTTTGGCAGAGTGTCATAGAATGTCAAACTGGTTGGCCTACAGGACTTCTGCCCATTCTCGTCCCTGTGCCACAAGCAAGCTCGGGAAGGGGGCTCAGAGGGCGGAGACTTCTGGAGGAGGTATGCCACAGGGACTTTATTTGTCCTGCCGTATCTTGATTTGGGTCAGCTTGATCCTTCCTGCAGCGTGGGCGCCCAGGCGGAGGTTGTTGTTAATGCCTGCACTGAACACCTGCTCTGGGGCCACAGGGGGAGGGACACCCAGGCCACACTCGGTCAGCTGGTAGCTTCCAAGCAAAGGGTAAGGGGTTCTAGCTTTGACCACAAGTCGGGAGTCAGCTCTGACCTTCCCAAGGTTAAGGAACCCAGACAAGCCGTGAGCATCGTGCACTCGATGTTACGGTAAAAGAAATAAGAGTAGTGATAGGACTATTTATTAATCTCCTACTGTGTACCAGGCACCTGCGTCACTGACAGCCCTGCAGAGCCTCACAGCAGCCTGCATAGCAGGAATTATTTCCCACCCGACGAGGAAGACACTGAGGCAGAGAAAGGCTGGCCGCGTTAAGGACCTGGTCAGAGCCACCAAACACAGGCCCAGTCTAGCAGACAACAAAGTCCTCGCACTCAGCCCTTCTGTCCCGGGGAAGCGAGCTGGCCTGGAACTGAGAGACACTGAGGAGGACACAGCCGAGTTTTTCTGTCGGCATAGAATCACCACCTTAAGTGTTTGCAGGAAGGATGGAACGAAGCCGTTACCTGGGCCAACTTCTGACTCACTGCCTTTATCAATCACCATCAAGCCAGTTCCAACTCATGGTGGCCCCATGTGTGTCAGAGTAGAACTGTGCTCCTTAGGGTTTTCAATGCCTGATTTTTCAGAAGTAGATCTCCAGGCCTTTCTTCCCAGGCCTCTGGGTGGACTCAAGCCGCCAACTTTTTGGTTAGCAGCTGAGCATGTTAACTGTTTGCACCACCCGTGCACTCCATCTTATGACCAGAGGGTGCAGGAGCCAACCTGCGGGAGCTTCCTCGTTATCTAAAAACAGCCATTGCCATCAAGTTGATTCTGACTCATTGCGACCGCACAGGACAGAGCAGAACTGCCCCATAGGGTTTCCCAGGAGTGGCTGGGGGATTTGAACTGCCAACCTTTTGGTTAGCAGCTGAGCTCTTAACCACTGCGCCACCAGGGCTCCATCTTAGTTCTCTAGTGCTGCTATAATAGAAATACCACAAGTGGGTGGCTTTAACAAACAGAAAGTAACTTTCTCAGTTTAGGAGGCTAGAAGTCTGAATTCAGGATGCCGGCTCTAAGGGAAGGCTCTCCTCTTTTCACCTCCTGCTCCTCTGTTCCTTGGCCATCTTCATGTGGGGTGGCATCTGTCTTCCCCTCTCTGCTTGCCTCTCTACGCCACATCTGCTCTTTCTGTGTCTCAAAGGTGATTGGCTTAAAACGCCCCCTATGCTGTTATGACCTCATTAACATAACAAAGAAGACACTGTGACCAGATGGGAGTATATCACGCGTGTGTTGTTATTGTTCTGTGCCACTGAGTTGATTCCGATTCATAGCGACCTAGGGGTTAGGATTTAAAACACGTATTTTGGGGAGACACAATTCAGTCCATACAGAAACCTACTGTGTTTGGGACCAGCAGAACTGGTCCTAACTGGACTATGAACTTGGCAGGAGGATGGAGGGCAGGCCGCAAGGCAGCTGTCCATAGAGATGGGTCAACCTTACGTGCCATTGCAACCTGGCGACAAGCACCAGCGTGTGGCTCGTGAGTGGGTACTGGGTGAGAGACAGGCTACCAGCTCCCTGGGACGGAGTGGGCAGAAAGTGTCCGAGGGACGTGGGCCCTGAAGAACACCCAGCAGTCGGTTAGCGGCTCCAGATTTCCTGTAAGGAGGAGCCTAATGAGCTGCAGAGACCCGTGTGTTGCGCCAGCCCAGCAGCCAGTTACCCACCGTGGGTGGGAGGATTGGGTCTGGGCAGGACAGCGTGAGGCTGGGGCCACCCTCCGCAGATGCAAATGTAAGTCAAGAAAATGCAATGGGAAGGGAGACCTGGTGGAGACATTTTCTGAATCAGTTAGGAGATTTCTCCCTTGCCCACCACTTCTTATGTCAGAAGTTTTGCTCAGAGGCACAGAGCTGAAGAGCCGAATGGCTGGACACATGTTGTTTGTGAGATGTGTTTAGTTGTTCCAGGTGATTCCTTCCCAAAGACTCCCCACCTTGTAGGA